TGCTATTCCAGATTCCTAGAAATGAAAACATGATCTGAAACTCACTTTCGAAAGGATTTAAAAGACATTAACTCTTGTCAGATGGAAAAGATTATATCTAAAATCAAACAAGTTAAGGCGAGCAAAATAACCAAAACCCTAAAACTGGAAACCATGAATTTCACCATCTCAAAAGATATAATAGGTTTGAAGCAAGGTACCCATTACTGGAAATTGGACGGAAACCTAGAAATTTCCAAATTCAGAAGAAGAAAGAAAGGTACCGCATCCCAACCAAGCCCGAGAAATACAAGAATCTTGAAAATTCGAAACAAGAATTTTATCTTTTATATTTTCGAAGAGAGAAGAAGAGTGAGAGAATGGCGTAAACCTGGAGTTGCTCCACCGGGAAAGGGCCGTGTTGGATTTCCTCAAGATCATCTTGTCGTCGTTCTTGCACATCTTTATGCTGGTTCCTGTGCTGCTGCTCCATTCTTGCTCGAAGTCGCAAGAACGGCGGGTTTCTTTTGCAGTAGCAATGTGAATAGGAAATGGTGGATTCGTCAGAATTGAAAATCGTCCGAGGCGTCAAATACCCAAATGCAGAAGAACGAGACAATAGAGAGGGTTGAAATGAATCCGATTAGAGCAATGTAATGTTAGGATAGACGGCCAAAAAATTAAACCACTGTTTTTTATCCAAAACCTGATCCAAATCCGACCAGAAAACATTGTCGAAGGCCAAAATTTGGACCACGGTGCTTAAAAGAGTCAGCAGAAGTGCATTTGCCTATTCCAAATCCCACAAAATGTAAATAAGTACTAAAGAATGAATATATGACATTAAGTCGCTTCAAGAATGAAGACCACCATGGGAAATAGAGGTGGCTTAGCGGAATCTGAATCCCATGTGGCCTTAACCACCTATTTGTATATGTAACAAGTAGTAACGATATGTTTTGAGTGCTGCAGCCAGCAGCTAATACCAACCCAACTTTTTTCCAACAAAAAGAGGAAACCCAATAAAAACAAAATTGTAATTTCAAAATAGGCCGAACATATACCACTAAATTACCACTTTGATAAGACTTGCACCCTCGTCAAGTCCTAGTCCCTCGATCTCTAGTTGATCTTTAGCAAAAGGCAAGGCTGGTGATATATTTCTACGTAAAACTTATTCTTTCATTTTTATCCAATATAAAAATATGAGGATTTGCCATTGCTATAGACATTCCTGAAACACCATGCATCGCCAAGTTAAGAACGCCAAGCCCGGCACTGAAATAAAACAAAAAATACGCCAAGGAGAATTCGTAACTCAAAAACATATTAAAAACATGGTATGCATTTACCTTCCTACTACTATCACAACTATGCTTTGGTTGGCAAAATCACTCAAAGGGCCTCCTTGGCCCTGACAGTTCCTAAATAACCAGCGAGAGCAACAGACACAGAGAAGTAGACGGCTCTGACACTTGTATCTCTTAACATTGCAATTTACAGCAGATTCTATATCTTTTATGCATTGGGATTTTTCAAAAGTAATATATTCAATTCATTTAATATATTTTCCCACTAATCAATATAGACGTGTAAAATCCCTTTCCCTTTTAACATGTGATATCACAGATGCTGCTTAAATATGTAAAATCAGTGAAAGGGCAACCCTCGCCTCTGACAGTTCCTAAAAAAAAAGAGAGAGCAACATATGCAGAAAAGTAGACGCATGTGACACTTGTATCTCTGAAGATTGCAAGGTAGAACAGATTCTATATCTTTTATACACTGGGATATCATAAAGAATGTACTCAATTAATTGAATATATTTTCCCTAATCACTATATACTTTTCAAATAGTTTTTAACAGGTAACATCACAGTCGCTGGTAAAATATGTAACCGTTTTATTCCTAGACAAAATGTTTCGAAGTGAATAGTATAGAAATAAAGAATGAAGCATGGACCACATTTCAAATGCTAATGGTATAAACGAAAGTTAAACTAACTTGATGAAAATTCGGAATTTTTTTTGCAAATAATGGGAAGGGGAAAAATGAATTGCAACATTGTCTTAAAAAACTGATGAGAACTATTTTAAATCTGAATATAGAAAGTAATGAATCATACTTTTTTGGTTTTTTGGCTGAGTTCTGA